AGAACAGAGCTTGAGCTTAATCCTGTCCTCGGACACGAACAAAAGCCGATATAAATTAAAATCGATATAATACGTAGCGAAGAATGGATTACCATGCCACAGACGCATCCGAACTGCCGTCCAATAAAGTGGTCGCAATAAAACACATCCAAATGTAAATCTAAATTTCAGTAAATCACATATTTATACACTATGTATCCCTGCTGTTTCCTCGCGATACAAACAGATATTTATTTGTAAAACAAAATATATTCATTTTCTCGTTTTCAGAAATAATTGGAACATTCATTGCGAACAATCAATATTTCCAAATTTTTCATAATTACTCTACTTTCGTACCTCTTATAAATAATATATGTACATAATATTGTTTTATTTACTAATGTACAAACATGGTTACAATTACATGTTAAGAGATATACCCGTTAAAAAATATTAATTTTATAATTTATTTTATACTACTTTGTACATTGTATCATATAAAATCTCTCAGAAGTACAAAATAAAATATCTACTGATTTATACATGCTTTTGTCGTATACGATTTTAGTATGGTAATACAAACAAACAAAATATATATATACACATATATATTTATATTTATATATAATACTATATATAAAATTTTATATAAAATTTCGTTACAAAATCATTTATATCTTTTTGCACACCAAAATCGTCATCATGTTTTTAGACAGAGTATATTTGTCGATGTAAAATGTATCATATTAATTTGAAAGCAGATGATACGGCCCTGACGACAAAACGCGTGACTATTATGTATTAGGCAACAAGCAAGGGACACGCCGCGACGCGTTGCTGAAAACAACACATTCAAACTTGTCTCAACCGTTCACGAACGCTACTAAAGTACAGAGTTATCCACTCAACTCGGGACCCACGTGCACGAGGAACAAAATGGCAACACTGCGACACGCACAGACACCGCCGCATCTACTGGTTTCGAGCTTCTAAAGTTGCGTCCTCACTGAAGTAACATGACTATACGAAAAACTTTTTGTTAATGTCCTACATACTTTAAAAAAATCGTCGCTTGTTGTCAAATGTTCCTCTACGTTTCTCCGTACTTCAGGTGCAACCAGTAAATATCGCTGGTTGCTGCCTGTTTCCATTCGCAGTGACAAAGATCAAAGAAAAACATGCGGCGACACGTGGAGACATAAACAAATGCTTTTCTAGCCACGTGCGCATTGTCAGCCGACTAGGAACGCATTGACTGCTTTTAAGGTCAACGCGACATATAATATTATGTACGTATATACATAATTCATTAATATGTACATAATTAATATTGAATAGTATATTAATTATATACATATAATATGTATATACTCCCTCAGATTATGTTACGTCAAGTATCTAAATCGGTGCCCACAGGCATTCTAGTGATTCATTCCCCTCATGAAAAGTTACCCTCTCCATACCTACTTTCACCTATTTGTATTGAACCCTACATAGAACTGCTCACATACACAGGTTAGGGCAGTTCCTTGAGTAGAGATAGTGGGGAAATGCTGTTTTCGAGTTACTAGCATGAGAGGAGTAAGTTAGTCATCTTTATGTCATGTTAATGTGCACAAAATGTTTCTATAAATTAGTGTTTTTTTAACAAGTTTTGGAACACGCGAAAGCCAATAAGGAGTTTGTCGTTGTTGTTTCAGTGAAACCGCAGCTTAAGACTCGTTGAAACCTCGAACAAGGCAGGGCACTGCACACCATATGACATTTTTGTAATACTGAGCTAATCTACATTATTATTCGATAGATAGAGATTAGGGGATAGGGATTAAACACGAATTGGTTAAGGGAATTTTTGATTGATTTGATGAAATAATTTAATCAAATGTTTACAAATTATTTTTGCATTTAGCAAAAAATCGATTCTTAAGGTCAATTTTCAAAATTTATAAGCGATTTTACTTATTCTTGAAGTCAGTTTTTTTCTTTATGTTATCCCCTTGAAATGGGAACATAATAAACAATGGATAACTGTTTTACCATTTGATTCTTTAATTATAGAAATAATGATATAAATAGATCGTTAATCAGAATTTCTTTTTTACAGAAAAGAAACTACGTTTGAGAATTTTTGCTCCAAATTCTCAATGTATTGAATACAAATCACACGCCTTTTCTCCAAAATGGTGGGAGCTAATCCAACCACCCATTTCGTTAACGCAGGCGCACTGAAGATCTCGAGTTTGCTCGGTCAAACTATAGCAAAGGTCAGTTGTCTATGACTCCGTGGCAATGGAGGCAGAGTAGGGCAGGCCAGATTTATTTATAAGTAAACTTTTGGACAGTGCGGATTTATGCCGTGCTAAACCGAAAACTGAAAAACTCAGGCGATCAGTTCGTGCCTCACTGTTGTACGCTATTCACTCAGTGAACCGCGTACTACCGTGTAGGTAATTAAACGTTGCAGCACTATACTTAAAATCATATTTATCAGAAAACCTGTAGCAATTGATTTACAATTCTCCCATAAAAATGTCATGAAGAAAGCAAAGAACATCTTTATCAATATGAACGATAACTGTTATTCATACTTAATGAACTTAAAACATGGCCGAAGTAAAGGATTTAATTCTCATTTCAATAGATACCACGAGAGACCTACTCTGCAATCCAAAACAGGAAATTGTAATTATTTTTATTAGTAATAGTATTATTACAATATTTTTGGTGGAATTTTTTATGGAAACGTGATATTATACGATTTACAATATTATATAAATAATTATAATACCTAAAAGGATAGATAGGAAACAGGTTAATACGACAAAATGCTTGATTTGAAAGAATTGTGGGCAAAGTTAAATTTCAATAGAAAAATTTGTGTGCTTTCATAATTCGACGGGCTAGATATTATCAAAATGTCACTATCATTAAAAGATTTATACCATTTCCCTTATATATACACTTGAAAAAGTATTTTCAAAATTTACACTTCTATTTTATAATTTTGAAAATAAATTGTTAATTATACATATGTTTAAGTAGTTTTTAAAAATGTACAAATGCAAGATTAATATATAATATATTACAAGTAACATTCAGTTGCTCTTGTAATATTTTCAAAATTACAGACAAAAACGATATTTAGATTTTAGATAAAAGTGATCAATACAAAAAATTATGTTGCGTGCATTATTCAATTTGCTTAATATCTGATAGTAAATAGAAAATATAATAACTTTTTATTTAGAATTAATTAATATAATTACATCAATAAGGTCACAGTTTCTATTATACTAATATTGTAAATTTTTTTTACAAATATCAAAATTACATATGATTTTATGGAATAATAATAGCATCAACAAAATTAGTTTACATTTGTTGTTACTAAACTATATTACATTATATTATCACAAAAAGTTGTGGACTAATAATGTAAACTTCATTACAAAAAATTATACATTTTTCATTATTTTAAATATCTGTAAAATTAATTAGTGAAATTTGAATGAAAATAACGTAGTACGAGAAACATATTCGTATAATCGAGAACATTAACGTTGTTCTCGACAAATCAGAGATTTTTATATTTCCCAGATCGTTCCTGGTGTGTTACGTAATTGGTTGTTGGCCAAAGTTTCTCATAAAATTGCTAGATCGATTCGGTGTATTAAGCATTACTAAAATCAATAACGCGGCATGCTACGTCGTCGTGTCATACATACCACGAACCGCGTACAAATCTCGATGCTCTTAATAAAAAGTTACTGTGTTTTGCCTTTGGTTAATTGCGAAATATATTTAATTTAGAAAAATCAACCAGTCGAATCGTTCATCTCGTATCTACAATTTTTCAACGAGATGATACGATATATTACTGATATTGACTCAAATAAATATTCAATTTTTAAAGATTAATTTATAATGATTAAAATAAAATTCAGCAAATAATCTTATAAAATTTAAGCAAAATAATCAAAATGTATTATAATAAATATTAAATTACGCTAACTTTCAAGCATTCATGTTTATTAAAAATACATAAAATTTGCAATTTCTTAACTATTTAGCAGACCACACAGGAAAATATTACCTCTAGTAAAACAGAACGTAATACAGCACAAATATTATCAATGTAATCCTAACGACAGCTTTATTACTTTTAAACTTACGTTTCTACTAGAGGATTTGTCAGTGTACTATGTATCATACACTTCAGTTAAACTATCGGTAGGGCGACAATTTCACGAATTACAGTTAATCATGAGTTTAGTCCGTCAGTATGAAAGATTCCAAGTTGACTTTCAAATCGTTTCAAGAGTATAATTGATGTTATAGAATTGATTTCTGTTTATCGTGAAACCATCGACTTACTCTCGTACGGAGCGAGGTGTATTGTGCATTGAAACAGTTGAAATGTTCTTGAGAATTTCAAATCTAACCAATAATTGATAAACTCATGAAAATTAGAATAGCAAGCAACTCATGAAACCAAACACTGAGAAAATTCTGAAAACCATACTGTTCATTTTATCTTACTCGTCGCAAATTTGAAGTAACATTTAAAAACGGCATTTCATGTCAAAGATGGTGAACATATCTTCAATTGTATTATCACATGTATCTGTTTAACCTAGCTTGGTTAACCATAAAAATTGTCAGAAATGTAAAAAGATTATTTCATACAAAGTGTATAGTATCTCATATTTTATACAATATTTGAAATATCTTTGCTCTATGATTACTTTGCTGAAATCTTAAGGAAGACAACATTTCAAAAACCAATGTCATCGTATATAACTAGCAACGAAATATGAATACGTTCAATCCTAGATAATATATTTCGATTTTGTCTTTGAATTACATTATGGGAAAGGTAAAGAAAACGCTTTGTAGAACTTCGTATGAGTGCATACCATATACGTAATTCGTTTCTGACAAATATATCGTACAGAATCGACGCCGAACGTGTTCATACAGGCAGGACAAATACAGTTACAGAGTGACAAGGAACTTACCTTCATATTGTGCTCGGCGATGTATTCGATCGAACATAATTGATAAACAACGTAAGCACGGACAAGCTCTTTGGTGGTTTTACTTTTAAAAGCCGCTACGGGATCGTTAAACCTCAAATCCAAGGGGTCGACCTGTCGTGGAGCCGGCTTCACGTCAGCAGCAGCGTCGGTGTATTCACGTTCGTGCACCTGCACCAACTGCATCGATGGTTTCGTTACGTTCTCGAGAAACCCGACAGGAAGTGGCACACACTTCCTTAACTTTTTACCGGCACTGCAACGCGGCACCGTTCTCAAAAACGCCATACCTTGCCGTCGCGTGTCTAATGTAAGAAATGTCAGCTCTAAACAGGACGCTCTATTTAAAAAAAATATACAACAATCCGTTCAACGTAAGGACTCCCCTTTCAGATATTAGTTGAGAAAGAAACGAACGAAAACGCTCCGATATTGTACTGTGTAACGTAGAATGGATAAGGCTATTTTTTCAGTGACAAACGGGGTAAGTCCAACCTGCCACGATCGAGTCGGGGACCCCAATACCAATAGAGGTATCTCGTCAAAGCTTAGGCCGAATCGCAAGGTGGGGTACTCGTAGACGTCCAGCGACGTACGAGTCAACCGCTTGTCTCGTCGCAATACTCCCTGTAACGTGAAATCTATTTGAAAGATTGGTTAAAAACCATGTTTAAAAACCATATAAATTTTTCCTGATAATCCCTTTTTCATTTTGTTATAAATATTACGCGGCAAACAGAATTTCAATTGTCATACGTTGCCCCAATTACTATACCGCAACAATAGGTAGCGAAGTTCTGATTGGTCCATTGGAGAGGTGTGTTCAGATTGACGAACGTGACTGGTCGGTTAAATTTTGGGAAATGCCAATATCTGCGCCGTTGTGTACCGCGCACAGTGGCGCAAAACACATTCTACATTGCCCCGAACCAAATCGTTTAATTTCAATTAATTTGCAATATCCTAAGTTCCAAAACCAATATATACATTCTGTGAAAATAACAGTTATTTATTTATATTACATTTAATTTTGATACATCTAAAAGTAAAAAATATGATTATTAATATTATTAATGAAATTTTTACTATCTTGCTAATATGATATTATTTTGCAAATATCAAGTCAATAAATAGTTTTACATAGTAAGAAAATTTAATTATTTATAAACGATGTTTAATTAA